CACACAATCAACCAATCAATCAATCAATCAATCAATCAATCCAACCCCTTTTTTTAGTTATTTTCAATTTTTGCCTCTGCATTTTATTTTATTTTTATTGGAAATTTGCATTTTTTTTAAAACAGCTCATACCCCTACAAAATACACATATTCATTTCTAAAAAAAATACAGGTAAACTCAGGGACCATGTGTCTCATTATAAAAGATGAAAAAAAAAAATTCCTGCTTTTCTTTTTATTTTTTTATTTTATTTTTTTTAAATCAAATTTAGTTTTTGATTTTTTAAAAATCATAAACGAAGTCGGATTTAAATAAACAAAATATTGGGTTGTAGGGATTAAAACTCCCTACAGCCCCATATTTGTTTTTGTTTTTTTTGCCTATTATTTAATTCAAGAAAAATCTGGTAAAATCGCGTCCGCGGCGCGGAACCGGTAGGCCGTGTATGCGTCCGCCCTCCGAGCTCGACCCCCGCGGACGCGTCCGCGGGTGTTACATAGCCCATGAAGAGTTATGGAGTCAGGGAACTGAGAGGTGGACGCGTCCGCGGGTGTTACATAGCCCATGAAGAGTTATGGAGTCAGGGAACTGAGAGGTAACGGTTCTATCCTCCTTTTATAAACCTCATTATAACCCATATTTGTACTTCTTACTATGTTTGACTGAGTATACTGTGTGCATCCTTACTTTGACTTTGAGTTTGACTTTTAGGACTTATACCAGACTTAAATGAAGTAAGGCATGCACAATCTCAATTTCAGTTGTACTGTTTGACTGAAAGCAGATTGTGGGAAGTGATTGCATCTGGGGGAAGAATTGGAGGAAGGCAGTATCGCTTGTGTCTGACTGGGTCAACCAAAGACTGGACAAGTCTCCAAAGTTTGGGGACGTCTAATGCTATGTTTATTTTTTAGTTGTTTGGCGGACCAGACGCGTTCCATAAGTTTCGGTGGTCGGGTTGCTCCGACTTGCGAGGGTTATATGTGGTTGACTTTTTGGGGACCAAGTATTGTCCCATAAGTTTGAGTGGCTTGGATGCCTTGTTTATTTTGAGTTTTTTCAGTTTATTTTGGTTTTGGACGAGGGGGTTTGAGCATATTCCATAAGTTTGGGTTACTCAACCTCTTTCTGCTTCACCATTAAGAGAAATAGATCGGGCAAAGGACCGGACATGTTCCATAAGTTTGTCGATGGGTGGTTTTGGTCCAATGCCACACACATGCTGGAATCAAAAGGTTATAACTTGACTATATTTTATTATTAGTTTATCTATGAACAGGCTAGTTAGACACTGTCCCATAAGTTTTGGTGGTCTGACTATAACTTATCACAAGCTTAAGAAAGTATTAATTAAGAGTAAACTTGTGGTAAGAAGGGACATGCTGAGCTTTGAGCTGAGATGATCGGTTCAGTCATATGTTACCTTACAAGTTTAAGTGCAGATAACTATATATAACTTGGATACTTAAACAGTTCTAGGAGACTAGGATGAACAATGTTATCATATGCCCAAGATAGATAAATGTTGTGGTGCCCTCTGTTTGTATATACTCAATAGCTGAGTTAGACATTGTTCCATAAGTTTGGGTGGTCTAACTTTATGCCTTATGTAAGCTGGGTATAAAGGGATGAATCATTGAATGACTATGAACTATTGTTTGACAAAGTTGACTTTGGGTTGGTGAGAGTACTTATTATTGTAGTTTGACCTTTCATGTGGCTGAGTGAGATCACTTCTTAGTCCGAGTTTCAGTTTGACATGTAGTTGCTTTAGTTGGTCGCCACATGCTAGAGTCATAAGAGTTAACTTAAATTCTTGCATTTTCTAAGCTAAGTTTATTTTACTTAGGTCAATTCTCACATTTTCTTAGATCATTTCTTATACTTGGTTTTATATAAATCTTGGTAAGTTAATTTTCTAGGGGGCGCGCTGCCAAAATTTCTACAAAACCAAGGAGTTAGTTAGATTTTAACTTTTCAATGTTCAGTTTGTCTAAATTTTATATATGGCTTAGTAAAAATATGGAAAACTTTTTTTTTCTAAAGGGATTGTTGCCCAAATTTTTGCTAATTAAGGGAGTTAAACAAAATTAAACTTTGGTAAGTCAAAGTTACTTTTAAACTTTTGAACTTAGCTTTGTATAAATTTTGAAAATTTACTTTCCCTACGGGAAGCGTTGCCAAAATTTTCTTAGTTTAAAGGAGATAAATTATATTTTGATAGGTGACGATATAAGCAATCCACCCTGTATGGAGGAGATTGTATCAAAGATCTGTCTTTTCTTTAAACACTGACTTAGGGGTAGACTTAGATTTACTTGACAGACAATATCTAGTAAGTATGTTGTATGAAGATTTATTCCCCATACACTAATGATTTAGCTTGGGTATTGACTTGTCTTATGGTACAGGTCCTTTTGATCGTTCTGATTCAAGATTTCGACTAGTTTCAGCTTGATCCTACAAGGATCATCTTCTGTTATCACTGACAGAAGGGCGGTTGCCGATTCGTCGGTTCACGATTCAACTCCAATCCACTCTTGCCACTTAACCTAAAGCTTTTAGCCCTGTGGTTTGAATAACTTTCTTGTGTCTTTACCCAGACTTTATTGAATGACCATTTAACAAAGGTATTGAGTATTTTATTGTTGGAAGGGTGCGCTAAGGTTGAGGTTTGTATGGCTAAAGTGAGAGGTGTAAGTGCCGAAAATGATGAAAGTTAACCCCACGTAGTGCATGAACTTCTGGTTTAATCTTTGATGTGATTGTAAGTCTGTTTGGTGGTTCGGACTTTCGATTTGACTGTCTGCTATCACATACATATATATGGTTGAGAGAAGTTTCACTTTGATTGTGAGAAGTGATCGTCACATATCTATAAACCTCTCTATATATGTAGATATATATGCTTTGAGTGTCCGCGCAGCCTACTGCGACCGTGGGTAAGGGTTAAACAGATTATGTTTCGAGAGAAAAGAGAGATCCCATTTTATCCTTTGTTTTTTAAAATTTTTATATAGTTAGACGTTGTAGTCCGTGACATTTATCAAAGTCAAACCCCTTGATTTCTTTCCAGGCCCTAGATGATGGAGCTGGTCTCCAGGGTGATAAGAGACGATTGCCACCACAAGTATGAATCTGTGTACCACCCACTCTCTGCAAGGTGTAGAAGATGGTGTGGTTCTCAACCGCACTTAGTGCCGTTAGCGGTTGTCTAGCGTCGAAAGATTAAACCCTTAAGGCGCATGTTAGCTGACACTTGAGTGTCGAACGAGACCTTCTAGATTATCGACGACCACGCGGTTATGGGTACTACATATAGTACGTCATCATTGCGACTGTTTGCGAATGCTTGCATTGCAAATCGATATGAGAAGGCCCTGCATCCCCGCGGTTTCATACTACGTTTCGCTCATGTCGCCTATCTGATTTCCGCGTCGGAAGGTTATGGGATGACTACGAAAAGAGACTAGGAGTATTGTTGTGTTGTTTGTTTCTGTATCGTTCCGTGTGAGTGAGTGTTGTGGTGTAACGCGTGGTAAGTGGGATGCGTCCTAGTCGACCGACGACGAGTCGCGATTGGGAGTTCCGCCCCTCTCTGCGTCGGTGCTTGTGCGGGTTCGATAGAAGTGTGGGACCGCGCGTACCCCGTATGCTACAACGAACGACAAACGCCATCGGCTAGTCCACCTCTGCGATTGCAACAGGTTAACTTTCGTACTGTGGACTGGTAGCTCGGCGGGGATACGCCCACCGAAGAGAGGAGACAAGTCTCGTAAGGTGGAGGTAAGTTATACCTCGCGTTGACACTATCCTGTCATAGGGGCTCGCGAGAGGTATGGCTGGCGCACTCGGCCGGAGTGGCTTGCGGAAGCTCCATGTGTATCGCGACGAGGAATAGACCAACGCCTGTGTGACTTGGCCAGGAGGGTCCCACCCTGTTCGGTGTGGGACAGATGCGCTCGACATTGCTCACACGTCGAAGTGGCTCGAGATTTGGCAGCGGCTCATCCGCAAAGAGCTTCGCATGGTGAAGGCTCGAAGATAGGCGTGTTTTTTTTTTTTTTGCGCGGCTACTGGCTTCGGCGCCGAGAACGGCTGGACTATTTCTGAGCCCAACTGACTATCGTTGTTTCACGCCAATATAACGAGTGGGTCTTCGCCACAACGTAAATGTTCCTGGTCGCACTTTCAGTTGTTTGGCAGGCTGTCTTCTTCATCTACGATTCTCGTCAATTCAGGAACATAGAAAAAGAAAAACGGAAGGTAATTTGAGACCACCTCCGGAGGTGGTCTCAAAAAGGGTCCGCCCACGGCCCCGCAGGCCACTGACAGAAGGGTCACTGTTTGAGGCATTTGGGTAGCGATCCTCTCCAGTGTGACCCGAAAAACGACTCAAATTTCGGGATTTTGGGTCTTTTGGTCCTCGTGTGAGTACCCCCTCAGAGAGCGGGGGCAGGGGCAAAAATAGCCAGGCTGTAATGAGCCTTACCCAAGAGGACACTGCCGGCCTGACCCTCTTTGGGTAACGAGCAGCTGCTCGTTACCGGGTCCTTTTCAAATGACGGAATGGAAGGCTTAGAAAGCCCCTCCAGGTCATTCATTGGCCTCAAGTATGCCTTCTGCTGGGCTCCGAGGCTGCTGCAGCAATATTTCTTCTGCTTCTGGACGGACCTGGTGTCCAGATACAAGGCCCATTTCCAAAGCTGCTGCCCAGCTGGCCACAGAGCCTGAGTAAGTGGCAGCGTGAATACTGGTTCCCAATTATGGCATGGCAATCCTGGCCTCTGGGTCTTCCTAGAAGGGAGGCCTCCGCGTGGGCACCTGATCCCTCGTCCATCGGTGAGGGGGGAACCTCGCCTTCCCTTTTTTTTTTTTTTTTTTTTTTCCCGAACCCTCGGCCGGCGCCGAGGCCATCAAAGCTGGCGTGCCCGGAAAACGAATAAAGATTCCCTCCGGCAACGCGATTTCCCTACCAAGCAGCGCGGCAGCGACGCTGTCGGACATTCGAGCTCTGTGCGTTTTCGGAAGCAAGCAAGCAAGCAAGCAAGCACAGCGAAGCGAAGCGCAGATGGCGGTCAAGATCGGCATCAATGGGTTCGGCCGCATTGGAAGGTTGGTCCTGAGGGCTTCCCTCAACCACCCCAACGTGCAGGTGGTGGCTGTGAACGACCCTTTCCTTGATCCCGAGTACATCGTCTACCTCTTCAAGTACGACACCGTGCATGGGAAGTACAAGGGCGAGGTCGGTCTGTCCGCCGACAAGAAGCTGGTCGTCGATGGCAAGGAGATCGCCATTTTCGCTCTGAGGGATCCTTCCGCGAT